ATTCGGCCAACTTTTCCGCCGGTTGTCTTTTGTCGCTCACCCCGGTATCGAACTCCGCGAAACGGCACAACTTCGCATTGTACCCGCTCGCTCAACTTTCGGGGATGCGGCTGCGCGTGCTAATTGGCTCTGTGTGTATGTGCGAATCTGAGAGGCTTTCGAAAGGGTTGGTTAAGTTTTCCGGGCTTGGAAATTTATTTTTGTTAGCTTTTATTGTCGCGTGAAATGGGAGGAAGTACTTTTCAATTAATTCGAAGAAGGTACGTGTGTAGACCGCGGAGAGAACGTTTTAACCCTTCGAGCGTTTTGTCTGGAGGTCGTTGGGGTAATTTGGGATGCTTGGAAATTGATTTGTAGGAGGTTAACCATTCGTGGTTCGTTGAAATTAGTCAGAATTAGATAAGGAAGAGTGAAATCATATACTTCCACATTATTCAAAAAGGGGACAAGAAATTTGAGATACGAAAAATTTAAGTCACAAAAAGTCTCCACAGTTTAGCGGGCAGTGAAAGAAATTTCAACGACAAAGAAGTGGATACATTTTTGCCGCGTTGTAGCGGGCACTCGGAGAAATTTGAAATTATTAAAAATTAGACAAGGAAGAGTAAAATCATATATTTTCACATTATTCACCGCAGTGACAAGAAATTTGAGTGACAAAAAGTGGATATTCTTGTTACCACATTTTAGCGAGCACTGAAAGAAATTTAAATGACAAAGAAGTGGATATTTGTTGCCACATTGTAGCGAGCACTCAGAGAAACTGTCACAAAAGAGTGCATATTGTTTACCAATAAACTCTCAAAGGGTTACTAAGCCTATCACTGTCCCCAATTTCTCACCTTTCGCATCGTGCGAAATCATTTTTAATTAATTCCAAGTAACGCACACACCACAAAGAGAACGTTTCAACAAACCCATCACTGTTCCCGAATCGCTCGCGGCTCGCATGGCAGGGAACGCTTAAATTCACAAAAATTCCACCGTCGAACGTCACACAGTATTGCACGCGAAAGCATCGCAAACCATCATACCGACAATAACGGCAATAACGATCCGGACGTAAGTTAAAAAGCCGCGTTACAATTGGAAAGAACAAACGTCCCGTTTATTCGCCGCGGTGTATATGATGTTAATCAAATTGATACGCGTCTACCTACTATTTAATAATTTCACGACTCGTCACGTGTACAGAGACTACCCCGGCTGCACGCCAATGGTGGAACCAGCTTCGTGCACGTGCTGCGGCTGATAATCAGTCGCGACATCGTTTCTCCTGCAAAGGGACTCGTCGCGTGTGTCGTGACGCACGCTCCGCAAGCCTCGTGGACACAGAGCCAGATAGCGTCGGTGCAATTTTCACGAATTCGAATCTGTAATTTCCAACCGGGGTCTCGCTATTCTAACCAACCACCCACGCGTTTTCGTAGAAATCTAAATCCGCATGGAAAAATAGACTTTTAACACCTTTTCGGGAATACAAGCGCCTATTCTTACAGCTGGACAAATTTTCAGTTAAAATTCGTCAGAGTGCCTACTATATCCTTGGCTTTCTCTTATCACAGGGAAATTAAAATTGATAACGTTAAAGAGCGGTAAGCGTTGGCAGCGAAAAGAGTGCAGAGGAAGGACTATCGCTGTAGGAGTGATCACCTAAACGAGTGGTGGTCTGAATCAAAGAACGCCATTCGTTCATTTTCACAAGAAATAATACTGCTCGCTTCGCCGTACAGTCCTCTGTCCTCCCGGTGACGTATAGTATCGAGGTTAAGCTCTCCGTGGCTTCTCTCTCTCTCTCTCCTTCTTCAGGCCCTAATGCGTTCAGAAAATTCGACTGGCGCATGCTTATTGCTACCTTAATGCGCGCGGCCGGTCGTATAATCGGCTGCTGACCGAGAGCTCGTAACAATAGTCCGAGGCGTCGACGCTGGACCACCCGGGGTTCGCCATTAAAGTCGCCTCCGTGGAAAGGGTACACGCGGGGAGAGACATCGAGAGGCAAGCAACAGGGGACAAATATGCGTGCCCTTTCTTTCTCCGTCTCTTTCTTCTCTTTTTTTTACACAATGGAATAAAGAATAGAGAAAGAACGAGGGGAGAAGAGAAGGACGGACGCAGACAGAGCGGGGCCAGAAGAGGGTACACGGTTAAGAGAGAGGAGAGCACGAGCAAGTAGATTCGGAAATCGAAGCGAGGGGATGTGGACCGGCGGGAATTAAAGAGTGAAGAAAGCTGGAGGAACAGAGTCGACCGCCGATCTCAGTTGTAACGCGAAACTTCCTGGCGCCAAACGCCTTAAAGCCTTCGCTCTAATAATATCCCATTGTGCTACCATTAGCCACTGAACACACCGCTGCCTTCTCTCCGCCCAAACGTCGCTTTCCATTCTCTCGTCTTCTTTTTTTTTTTTTCGTCGGGACCAGGTCTCTTTCTCTCTCCCTTTGCGCTGCTAGCGAGAGGAGCGTCTTTATGACGCGCTTTGTAGCGACACCTCGAAAAATCCGAGAGGCGGTGTGAGGGCATATCCGGCCGAGACAGAGTTGCACCGTCTGCTTTGCCTCGTTAGACTTGCAGTTTTCCTCGTTTTTTTAGTTTCGTCGCGTCTGTCTCTTCTTTTTTACGTGCGTACATGCAGCTAACCCTCGATTTGCGGGAAATTTGTGTTTTGCATATTTGAAATTTTATTTTACTCCTCTCTGCTTTTTTATTTTTTTATTTTGTTTAATGTCTTATGCATTGTGTAAGGTTATTAACAACTGTTGGGGATTGGTTGTAACTTGAAATCAGATAGGCACTGTTACCGTACAATCTAATATCTTTTAAAAATTGTAAGGTGCGATGTAGCTCTTTTTAGATGTTTTAGATAGCGACATAAACGCTGTATAGTCGATAGAAGAAATATAGCGAGTCGTAAAATCGGCCAGGCGTCAAAGTTTACACGTTCAAACACATCGACAGAAAACTTGGTTCAGTTTGAAATCACAATTATTGCACTTATTGCACAACCATTTTTATTGTAATTCAGTCAATTCTTGAGGCTATAAGAAACACTGTATGGTCGATGGAAGAAATATAGCGAATCGTAAAATCGGTTAGTTGTCAAAGTTTGCACGTTCGATTTGGTTAAGCTTGAAATCACAATTGTTGCACTTATTGCACAACCATTTTTATTGTAATTCAGTCAATTCTTGAGGCTATAAGAAACACTGTATAGTCGATGGAAGAAATATAGCGAATCGTAAAATCGGTTAGTCGTCAAAGTTTGCACGTTCGATTTGGTTAAGCTTGAAATCACAATTGTTGCACTTATTGCACAACCATTTTTATCGTAGTTCAGTAAATTCTTGTGGCTACAAGAAACACTGTATAGTCGATGGAAGAAATGTAGCGAGTTGTAAAATCGGCCAGGCGTCAAAATTTACACTTTCAAGCATATCGACGGAAAACTTGGTTCAGTTTGAAATCACAATTGTTGCACTTATTGCACAACCATTTTTATCGTAGTTTAGTCAATTCTTGAGGCTATAAGAAACACTGTATAGTCGATGAAAGAAATACAGCGAGTCGTAAAATCTGTCAGGCGTCAAAATTTACAGGTTCAAGCATATCAACATGTGATTCTAATCGCGTAACTCTAGAATGGCCAATCTTAATTCCATTAATTATGCTCTGTTCCTTTCGAGTCACTTTTCGAAAGTGATTATCTACGTTGAAAAAGATATCTGCTCTTTCAAGAGCACAGTTTTACACGACTACATACTCGCAGCATTTCCAGAGATTACGTAGAGGAGCTGTCACAGATTGATACAGTAATTCCAAAGTAGACACTCTACCCGATCGAATGAATAATTATTTGGTCATTCTTCGTGTTCACCGAGCGCAACTTTCTCGCTTCTAAAAATAAATCCGGCCGAAGTTACACGTTTATGCACCTCCTCGATTTTCATAAAGATTTCTAGCCACCGTTGATAAATTAACCACGTATAATTGAGGGTTAGCTGTACATTTCTGTACTCCCTCGGTTACGAAGGAGAAAGGACTCGGTGAAATTCGCGATCTCTCGCGGTGATAATCCGTGGTTGGAATTCACGGCACTGTAACGCCCGAACGAATTCGTATTTCGTCCGACCATCGTCGTTCTGCACGTTCGTCGTGGGTGTAGATTCGATTAACGGATCGTCAGTCACTCGCAGATTCGACGGATTGACCGATCTGCCTGTGACCTCGTTACACACCGAAACTCGCCGCTTAAGATGATGGATCGGACGATTTTAATTCCGGACGAACGAACCGTTTTGCATAAATCGCGCGTGTGGGTTTCGGTGTACCATCTGAAATATTCACCTTTCGAAGACGAAATTAACTCGTCGAACGTCGTCGAAAATATACACTCGACGGTCTCTCTCCGCCACGCTGCCATTCTCTCTCTCTCCCTGTGTTGTACCAACGACGCAACAATCCGAAGGATACCCAAGAAAAATCGTATTAATAAATAGCACACATTGTTGAGATTCACGTCGTCCATTTATTCGAGTATGCTCGGGGCACAGTGTAGTTACCCTTGGTAACGATCGTCGCTTGTAGTTAATCGATCATCGTTTTAAAACTCTGTGTTGCGCTGTCATATGGTATCCAGTGTTTACAACAAAGCTGCCTGTAACGTTGCAGTTTTAAGCGTTCTTGGAACTGACCTTAATATTCAGCGAGATAAGAGGCAGGAAGATGGATCGTGCCGCCATGTTTCCACATTTTCCCCGTGTACGAAACCTCTTTACGTAGGCTAACAAATATTAATTCCCACTGTGAAATTTTATATTACATTATAAAGTCTCTCGTATTTGAGATAACGCCTCGCCTCCAATCTGCCCCGATCTACGTTTAATTTTCAGATAAAAGTAAACTCTGCAGTTTAACTTTTCGACATTTCAGCGAACACACGTACACATACTAGCTTGCTAACTCGTAATTTCAAGGTAATTAATTTTCCAATTCGATTACAGGGAAATCCGTACGGATTGAAGGACACGACGGGGATGGGCATGACGGCGGATATGGGTGCTGCATGGGGCACAGCAGCCCTTCAGCCTGCCGCCACGGGTTACTACCCCTACGATCCAACCCTGGCCGCCTACGGGTAAGTTTATCACCAGGTTTCATGGTCTCTCGGCTCCATTAGATTAAACCACCAGCAACGTTCCACTCGCCCCTTGCGCGCGCGGCCACCTCTCGAGCACAGTGTTCTCTCTCTCACTCTCTCACACTGTGCCGCCATTAAAACAAGAGTCACGATCTCTCGTACTCGCTACACATATCCCAGGCCAGCAATGGTTATCGTTATCGCGAATCCGTTATATCTCTCCCCCCTCGATACTAAACGGACCGGTACACAATTTTAAGCGGCCCGTTGATGCTTATACGAAGCGGATGATTGCCGTTTCCCGATTATTCTCGCTTTTCCCCGTGTTATTCGCGGCCGTGAAGTGTCCAGGTTAAAGGAATGACTTCTTTTTTCAATCTTTCCGATGTTGGAAAGTTTAGTTGTTTGTCGGAGTGTGCGATCAGGGTTAGGAAATTTAACGGGTGCGTGAAGGGTGGAATTTTTAGAGTTAGGAGAATGAAGACGAATTTATTTGACTGCTGTAGAATTATTTTTCTGGGAATTGTAGAATTTTTTGCCCATTCACTCCTTTATCTTCTCAATAATTTATTGATTCTCAATAATTCCCATTTTGTGGGAGTGTATGATAATTGAAGGGTCGTAGAGTCATATGGAGGCGTGAAGGGAGGGAACGATCGAAGTTAGAAGAATAAAGGCGTGTGTTAGAATTCTTTTCGCTTCGATTCTTCGTTTCTCGAAAAATTTCGTTCCTCCTTAGGGTGAAGAGGTGACCAATCACTCACCACGTTTCAATCTCTCCCGTCCCCTTCGCTCTTCGAGCTCATATTTACAAAACGACTGCGCGAAGGTAGGCGACAATTAATCGGTAAGAAGGGTGACGAGCAAACCGGATGCCCGTTCTTGCGTGGATAAGAGTTACGAGGGTGCTGTCAACACGAGGACCCTTGTACTTCATCTTGTAGGGAAGCTTGGCGGAATATCGATGGCGAGGAAAAGGTTGTCTTTGTCGCGACGGGGGCGCACAGCCAACGTTCTCCGCCTTCCGCGATATATCCCCCGTGTGGCCGCACAAACATCGCATCGAGGAAGTAAGTGATTTCGTCTGCGACGTGTATATTTTCACCGGTTCCATATTGAGATAAAGAGAGAGAGAGAGAGAGAGAAGAAGTGGGAGAGAAGCTCTAGCTCAACGGGGCCAGTATTTTCGTTACGGAACCGTGTTTTGATTAATAATGGCAGCGCGGACGAAAAAGTGACGGGCGAATTTACGACGGAAATTTATTTCGTTCTCGCGTACCGTGCTCGAACATTGTATACGTGGCTGTGTGTAGGTGTGCATCGCGATACACCGGCGATATATCAAAATCTGTCAGAACGGGAGAACGATTATTTATCGGGGCGGAATTAAAATTACGAGAGAGAAAAAGTCGCTTTGTTGCCGCGGCGACACCGAGTCCGTCCGGCCGGTCCGGCGGCGGCAGAGGCGGCGGGCGGCGTCGGCGCGTTTATTCGAAATAAAAACGGCCAGAGAGGGACAACTGTTCGCTGTGCTCGCAATTTCGTTGTCGCCGTGGAGGAGCAGCGCGCACACGGAGGAAAATAAACCAGGTCGTGTTACTTTCGCGTTTCGCGCGCGCGAAAAAAGAGCGAAAAAGGTATCGTCCTGGTAACCTGCATAAAATAAGACGATCCGAAGGTACAGCCACCAGATAGAGAGTCTCCCTTTCTCGTGAAACCTTCTCGTTGGTATTCGTGGGAACGCGTACGGTTATTTTGGAAAACCATGTGTCGCGTGCCGTTGACAAAATGAGACATTGACATAGATTTCGACGCTAGTCGTAATTGGAAACACTTGGTTGTTCTTCCCCGTGGTGCTCTCGATTCCTCTTCGTAGCTCGTAAATCTAGATCCTCGTTTCTTTT